TACCATTTATCAAGTTTTTTCTCTTAACTCCAAATTTATTCTCATTCTGTCTCTTTTCCTTTGCTCCAGAAATTTATTCCTTGGCAGGGATTAAGAATGAATTATTCTCATAAGTTTGTTCCCGCTTGTGTGAAGACATATAATTTTCTGTGTTGAAGAGAGAGAGAGAGAGAGAGAGAGAGAGAGAGAGAGAGAGAGAGAAAAAAAAATAGAAGTGAAAGAGAGATAATAAGAAAAATAAAAAGACAGACTGGGAGAAAGAGAGCGAAAAAGATAAAGAGAGTGAATAAATAGAACGAGAGAAAATAAGAGAGAAAAAAAAGAGAAGGATGGAGAAGATAAGGATAGAGAGAGGGAGAGAATAAGAAAAGGAGAGAAAGAGAGACAATAAGAGAGAGAAACAAAGATATAGTAAGAGAAAGATAGAAAGAAAGAGATAAAATAAAAGAGAGAGAAAAACAAGAATAAAAGAGAAAATTAGAGAAAAAGAAAAATAGAGAGAGAGAGAAAGAGAGAGGAAATAAAAGAGAGAAAAAACAAAAAGAATTGGAAAGAAAGTCAGAGACAGAAAAAGAGAGAAAGTAAGTGAGAAAGAAAAGATAATATTAACTCACCCCCCCCCCCCCACTCACCCACCCCATCTATCCAATAATTCCAAATATAACACTTTTTCCCCCCCATCCAACAAATTCTTTCCTGGATATTAAAAAATAATAAAAAAAATCTTAAAAACTTCGTCTCTTTTTCATTGGTGTCCCGATAGAGTCAACATGGGATGATATTGAGCAAATTTATGATAGTCTCCCCCTTAAATTTCACTCAATGGATTTCGTTTTCTGTGCCTACTTCCCCCGTTTTCTTTGCTACCATATAACTAATTTATATATCTACATTCATATAGTAGTAGGTATATACATATAATTATACAAATCTAGGTGTGAAAACTAAATTAAATATATGTAAATTAGTATGAAAATCAATTTATATAAACAGATATATAATTCAATCAATATAAATTCAATTCACCCACTGAGCAGCTTAAATCCCACACAAACACCACTTCAGTTGCCACCCCGCCCCCTCACCAGTGGGTACAGTTCACAGTCATTTTAATCGATTATTGACTGTGTTTTGTGTGTCAAACCATTTCATTTCCTGTCTGGATTTTAGTGTAAATTTATCTTACAGTGAGATTAATTGCTTGGGTTTGTTAAGACTGTGTTTGATGTGGTACAGTTAGTAAACAGTCATAATAATACCTGGTTTATGGATAGTTCATTTCAGACAGTTAATTGACTGCTTGTATTACGTTATCAACGCAAATTTAAACTGTTGACTGTATGTATGAAACAGTCAGTGTCAATGTAAGTCAATGACTGTGTTGTGCATTTTACAGTTAGTGTCAAGGTAAATGACTTGAAAGGTGGTTGATGTGTAACTTCCTCTCTCTCTGATATACACACACATACTACTACTACTACTACTTTTCTGTCACTCGGAATCGAGTATGACGATCATCCAGCTATGATACAATAATATGAGTTATTAAGGATGCCACCATCGTTGGTGAGCTCTGGGGAGACTCCAGAGACCGATATGGGACCGGCAGTGTCTTCCACAGATGTTGCACGTGTGGAGGACTACATCTAGTGCGGCAACGGCGGCAGCATCGTCTTTCCGGCGTTGGCGCTTGTCTGCCTCAGTATGCAGACAAGTATTGTCACCTTCTCGTGTGGTGCTCCTCCAAGCGTTACGGTGTGGAGTAATCGTCTCCCAAGTGAGAGGTCGATTTGGCACTTTTTCAGGTTTGTCTTAAGACTATCCTTATACCTTTTCAGTTGCCCAACAGTGTTACGTTTACTCTGGGATTGAAGTCACCAAGGAGCACAACCTTATCTTCTCTGGGGATAGAGGTTAGCACTCTGTTAAGGTCGGCATAAAATACCTCCTTGGGGTCATCCTCTGCATCCAGTGTTGGGGCGCATACACTGATGAAGAAGGCATGACGTGAGTGATTCAGTGGGACTCGGAGCGTCATGAGGCGCTCGTTGATCCCAACAGGCATTTCAGTTAGCATATGTAGGATTCATTGACGGATGGCAAAGCCAACTCCATAAATGCCGTTTCTCTCTGCAGCAGGCTTACCCTTCCAGAAGAAGGTACAGTAAGACACCCGGTTCTGTGAGTTGACCCTCATCTGGGAGCCGGGACTCACTGATGGCTGCTATGTCGATGTTCTACCTTGCCAGCTCTTTTGAAACAAGGGCAGTTCTTCTTTCAGGACGCTCATTTGTGCCGGTATCCAGAAGGGTCCTGACATTCCGTGCAGCGACCATAAGAGGTTGCACAGTTTGTTTTTGTTTGGACCTGTAATTATGATTGTGTTTTTGACAGGACCGGATTGCACTGCTGCCTAGATCCCAGTGCATAAATGACTATCTTATTTATACCGCCCATGTGCAGAGTTGTGACTAGACTTCTGGCAGTCATCTCTGCCTGTCCCCGTCGCCACTCGTCCATCACCATAGGACTTTTGTTGATGATGAGAAGTATATTGAGCTGGATGATAGCTGCAACCACACATCTTGGCTCTCCTTTTTCCTGATCCAGTGGTGCAAGTGTTGCAACGACTGGGGAGAGGAAGAGTTGCAATGGACTGCCGATAGCCCAGTTTGTTGGGTTTCGCTTTAGTGGCCTGTCCATCTGGCATTGTCTTCATCCGCCGGTGTAGTCGTTGGGTTCCCATGGTGGTCACCTCTTCTGCCTATACCGCCGTTGAGGGTCTTGTTGGAGCTCTGTAAGCATGTCTGCCTGATGCGGGGCTCCACCGCATAATTTTCGTTTGGGGTTTACTCCCGTAGCCTTATAACTGCCAAGGTTAATCAGCAAGGCAGCGGAGAAGTGGTTGGTAGGCACCAGGACGTGTCCACATGCCAGTTGGCGTATGCGCTGTCCCTCTGGGGCCTACTGCTGCTCCGAGATCCCCTGCTGGTCTAGCCTGGGCCCACAAGACACCCAGTTACCGTGTGTTGCCACGAGGAGGCACAGCAGGAGTAGTCCTGCTTAGGCAATGCCTGCACCTTAACACTAACATAATGCTGTCACACTAGATGCATTACACTACCCTGTGCACACACACAAAGTGGCCATAACCTTTAACACAGCCGTGATAATATTCGTGACGGAAGTTTAGAACCAGATGTTTTTTCCGCCCTCTGGAACTACCTTTAATGTCCACTAGTGTATGACGCTCGCTGCCGGGGATTGTGTGTGTGTGTCCATAAACTTTGCTGCACACAAACATCTACACAACCACTCATCCCTTCCCCATCCCTACAATATTTACTCCTTCCTTCCTCCCTGCCACCCCCTCTTTCCCCCTTCCCTCTCCTACTTTTTCCCTCCACCTCCCCCTTCCCCCCTGACCTTGACCTCTGACCTAGGATGACCAGTGTGGGGTCGTTAAGATGCGGAACGAACCCAACACCATCACAGCTAATGGTTACAGACGACCTTGAGGGTGACTTCTCATACACGATGCTTCTGACCAACAGCTGGACGAGAGAGAGAGAGAGAGAGAGAGAGAGAGAGATGGGTGAGGTAAGTCCCAGCCCTCACAACGAGACGGGAAAAGAGAAAGAAATGGAACAGGTTATGCTAAAGAATGGGTGAGAGAGGAAGAAGAAACGAGAGATGGGAAGGATAAGAGTTATAACCTGGGAAAGGAGGAAGAGAGAGATGGATGATTATGGAAAGGAAAATTAGGAAAAATAAATCAAACTTAGAATAAGAGAAAAATCCGTTATAGCACGAGTCCGTTTGATGTGAAACCTCTCATTAACGGACTATAGAGAGGAAAGACCCCCTTTAACGGAATATATGAAGATATAAGATCGTTATATGGAGGATTTCCTGTAATAAAAAACGGGAATGAAATTAGTATTAAAAATTAAGGATATTTTAAAGGGACCAGGTGGGCTCTGAAGGTAAACAAACAAACAAACCGCAATCCAGCTCATTGGTGTAGTGGTTGTGATATTCGACAGGCAATACAGAGTTCCCCGCTTCGAATCTCCACTGAACGCGATGAGAGGGGACCAGGTGGGAGGGAGACTTTGTAATAAACACCTGAATAAGCGGGAGAGGCAGAGAGACGCACATCAGAATGGTACAGTAGTGGTGGTGGCGGAGTGGTATTAGCACTGAGGATGAGGCAGTACCCTGGTTCGAGTCTCCAGGTAGAAGATAGTATAATTAGGAATCTGGTAGCAGGTGAGATCTTGAGGTAAGTCAGATATGTAAATAAAGAGACGAAAATTCATTATCTACAGTGGCTGAATGGTTAACGCCCTCGACCACGCAATTCAGAAGACCCGGGTTCGAATCTCAATTGAAGAGGCAGCGATATTAAGATGGTATTCAAGGTGAAGATATGACCACGCGATAATATGTAAAATTCAGCAGAAAAGACGAAAGTGTATATCAGTCTGGTGGATGATCGGTTATTGTACTGAGTTTGCAACCTAGAAGACGTGGGGTCGAATCTCCGAATAGTTGAGACCAGGTGAGATGTACAGGTAGGTGGAGGTATACAATTTAGTACTTGTCACATATAGAGTAATAACCCTTTGAGTACGAACAGCCTAACCTCTTGAGTACGACGACTTAACCCTTTGAGTACGACGACTTAACCCCTTGAGTACGATGACTTAACCCTTTGAGTACGACGACTTAACCTCTTGAGTACGACGACTTAACCTCTTGAGTACGACGACTTAACCCTTTGAGTACGACGACTTAACCCTTTGAGTACGACGACTTAACCCTTTGAGTACGACGGCATAACCTCTTGAGTACGACGGTATAACCTCTTGAGTACGACGGCTAAACCCCTTAAGTAAATGGTCTATTTACTAGATTCAAGATGAAATCGTACTCCGAGGATTATGTCATAGTACTCAAGGAATTAAGACTACTACAGCTCACAGCATTGTACTCACCGATTCTGATGACAGGAGGCAACCCCGTAGCAGCAGGTAAGAACAGCGGGAGTACCGTGGTCATCGTCAGCAGAAGCAGCCGGGACAGCAGAGGCGCCCGTGGCCACCAGCAGGAGCAAGATGGCCCCATACTGGCGTAGGAGACCAGAGTCACTAGATCCACGTGGCGAATGCTGATTGGTGGATTATAAAGCCAGCATAATGACGTAGGTGTTGGAGATTACGCTGATTGGTGGATTATAAAGCCAGCATAATGACGTAGGTGTTGGAGATTACGCTGATTGGCGGATCATAGAGCTAGCATGATGACGTAGGTATTGGAGATTGCGTTGATTGGCGGATCATAGAGCTAGCATGATGACGTTGGTGTTGCTGATTACATTGATTGGCGGATCATAAAGCCAACACGATGACGTAGGTGTTGGAGATCATGCTGATTGGTGGTTCATAGGAAGAGCATGATGACGTATGTTCCAGAGGTCACTTCACACAAGTTCCGATGACCTGGTTGACCTCTCTTTGACCTGTGTGACCTGAGATACGGGAAGTTCAGGTTCCAGAGGCTTCACATGGGAATACACAGTGAGTCAGATGAGTATAGTGACGTCATAACACAGTGAGTCAGATGAGTATAGTGACGTCATAACACCGTGAGTCAGATGAGTACAGTGACGTCATAACACCGTGAGTCAGATGAGTACAGTGACGTCATAACACCGTGAGTCAGATGAGTACAGTGACGTCATAACACCGTGAGTCAGGTGAGTACAGTGACGTAATTAATTTATGTAAATAATTTATTTTTCTATTTCTTAATTAATCTAATTATCGATTATATATTTTTACTTTATTATTTAATGTATTTATCAATTAATTTATTTATCTATTTAATTATCTATCTAATTATCCCTCGTGTGTATTTATCTATCATTCATCACCATGTGTCTAACTAATTATCTACCTCATGTTTCATTAACTTTTGTTGCTAACCTTAAATAGAAGACTATTTTATGTCTTGCTATTTTCACGGGGGGTAGGGGTGAGGGGGGGGTGATTTAAATATATAATAATTTTTAATTGGTCGTTAAAAATCGTAAATTCTCTCAAAATTGCGAACATTATGAATAAATTCCAAAATAAAACGTTTACTCCTCCCCCTTCGTGTACATAAGAATATATTCATGTTGTTTCGTCTTCTCTAATAACAAAAGATTATCCATCTAGATTGCATAGTGTGTTCAAAACAATAACTTATTCACCCTGTATAGAATATGAGCTAACGGACAGCTTATTCCTTTACCTAACCTAACACCTGTGTAATAATGACCTCTAACACCTGTGTAATAATGACCTCTAACACCTGTGTAATAATGACCTCTAACACCTGTATAATAATGACCTCTAACACCTGTATAATAATGACCTCTAACACCTGTATAATAATGATCTCTAACACCTGTATAATAATGACCTCTAACACCTGTATAATAATGACCTCTAACACCTGTATAATAATGACCTCTAACACCTGTATAATAATGACCTCTAACACCTGTATAATAATGACCTCTAACACCTGTACAATAATGACCTCTAACACCTGTACAATAATGACCTCTAACACCTGTGTAATAATGACCTCTAACACCTGTGTAATAATGACCTCTAACACCTGTATAATAATGACCTCTAACACCTGTACAATAATGACCTCTAACACCTGTATAATAATGACCCCTAACACCTGTATAATAATGACCTCTAACACCTGTACAATAATGACCTCTAACACCTGTACAATAATGACCTCTAACACCTGTATAATAATGACCTCTAACACCTGTACAATAATGACCTCTAACACCTGTATAATAATGACCCCTAACACCTGTATAATAATGACCTCTAACACCTGTATAATAATGACCTCTAACACCTGTATAATAATGATCTCTAACACCTGTGTAATAATGATCTATCTGTTTATCATTTCTTTAAGTCTGTATTTACCTGTTTATCCATTTGTTTGCCTATTCATCTATCCATTTATCCATTTTTTATCTATGTATCTATCTGTTTATATATTTATCCATATGTATATTTTTATCCGCACAGTATTAATTATTATTTTCCCTCAAGGATTATTAAGAGCAGACAGACTAAGTAACAACTCTATTTATTCCTAAAAAGCGTATTTAATTTTCAAGTTTTAAAGTATACGTTTAATTAAAGTTCTAATTACTCTTGTCTGACTAAGGATTAATGACGACTTGGGAATTAATTTAAGAAATCACCTTAATGACTGAATAACATACACAGGATATATTTTGGCGGGTAATTAAGTGCAATTAGTTTTGTTGTCTTGTATACAAAGTCCAATGTTATTTTAATTTGATATAAGTATTTTTTTTAGTCTTTGTTTTGTTGTAAAATTCGTTCTTGTTATTTTTTTCGTCAAATTTAGTAAAATAAATAATGATATGTGTTTATAAATATTTTAATCTAAAAAATTTAATTATTTTCATTTATTCGTGATTTGTCTTCTCATCAAAAACTTTAACAATTATTATTACCACTGAACACGTGTCTCTTTCATAAATAATAAGAAAAAAAATAATCTAAGGAACTTTTCTAACAATTGAAGATAAGTTAAAAAATTTCCAAACATTCATACTTTTCTTTCCCCAAAATATAAGAAACTATTATAATTTCCATATTTATTTTTATTCTCAGAGAAAATGTATTAATTAATCACATACTTGAATTTAACTTTCACGAGTTAGATGAAAAATCAAATATTTAACTTTTGTCTATGAAAGAAGAAATTAGATTCAATTTCATATTTAAATTTTCCTTTCACTAAAAAATAAATCTTATTTTTCTTAAAAGTTTTTTGTCAATTCTCGAATGAATTAATTTTCTCTCCAAAAATTACGTCAAGTTTACAGAGAAAAGAACTACATTAAAATCACAAATAAACACTTGTTGATTTTTTCTTTTTGTAAGTCACTTTGTCACCACACTTTTAATACTCAAAATATTATTCTTCGTTTATTTTAATTTATTTTTCACACGAGGATATAACAATCACTATTAGCTTCCAAAACCTAAATTGTTCTGAGTTTTCTGTCTCTAATTACGCCATGAATAACAGACACGATTTTTTGGGAGTCAATTTATGAATATTATAAAAATGTTCACAACTATGTTTTTCCTGTATTCAAGCGATGTGTGAAGACTTAAAAATCACAAGATAAAAAAAAATAAATAAATAAATTTCTAACGCTATATAGTAAGACTGGTATTTACTTCTGAAAATATGGAGCGCAGATGGAGTTACGTTTTTCACCAATCTTGTTTCTTCTTCTGAGTGTCGGTGTGAACGCGGCGGACACTGAATAGGGAACACCACGCAATACACCTTCACTCCACCACGGTCCGCGGACCACTGACTGCCTCTCTGTGTTGTCACCTCGATGCCTTCCTCCCTCTTTCTTTTATTCTCCCCTCCTCCTCCTCCCACGCTTCTCCCTTCTTCTCCTCCCTTCTCCTACTTCCTCTTCTTCTCTCCTCCTCATTTAATAATTTTTCTCCTTCCTCCTTTCACCCGTACCTGTACTTTAAACTATAAGTAAATTAGTGTACCTGCAGTTTACACCTTAATTAGTGTACCTGTAGTTTACACCTTAATTACTGTACCTGTACTTTACTCACCTAAAAACAAAAGGTGTGTGTGTGTGTGTGTGTGTGTGTGTGTGTGTGTGTGTGTATACTAAGCGCTTATACTCACATCATTACCTTCATCTGGGATACATCACTCGCCTCCAGTCCTAAAGTCCACTGGTTCGATTCCAGACACTCACCATCCAGCCAGCTGTAAGTGGATGACTAATTTTACAAGTTAGGAAGTGAAGCCTGACAAGTACAGTGTAGACCACGCTGTCTCTCGTGTACCGAACGGTGAGTGTGTCCCTAATGCACCGTCAGGCTAATGGCCCAGTCTCCTTTTTTAAACCTAACCTAACCTAACGCAACCTAATGTAACCTGCGTAACATAACCTAACCTAACGTAAGCCAACCTAACCTAAGCTCCGAATGGGGAGGTAGAAAATTGGTTTAATTCAATAGTAATAAAACACAGTATTTACCAATTACACTTTCCAAATTAGATGATCTCCCACCAATCACATTTCAGGACACAATCATTTTGCCAAATTCTAAAATAGATATTCTAGGCCTCACCATTTCCTCTAATATGTCATGGAAGCCACACATCCACAACATTGCTAAAGCTGCCTCCCGAGAGCTGGGAATGCTGTACAGATGCCGTAGCTACTTCACTCCTGAGCAGTTGCTTCAAGTATATAAGGGATTCATTCGTCCTAACTTGGAGTACTGCTCTCATATCTGGGGTGGCTCTTCTTCTGTCCAACTGTTAGAAGGGTGGAATCAAAGGCTTATTAACTCTCCTCCTTTAGTTGATAATCTTTCTTCCCTTTCTCTTCACCGCAATGTTGCTTCACTCTCTCTCTTTACAGGTACTTTAACGGGCAATGTTCGGTGGATTTGGCATCCTGTGTACCGCCGGCAAGGCCGTGGGCTCGTAACACACGTCTTGCCCGCGGTGCCCACCGTTTCTCTGTGGATGTCGGTCACACCATAATAACCCGTTATAGTACCTCCTTCTTTCCTCACACAGCCAAACTGTGGAATGCTCTGCCTTCTTCTGTGTTTCCATACTCATACAATCTGTCTCACTTCAACAAGCTGGTTTTCCGTCATCTTTGTTGTGAAGACTAATATAATCTTTTTCTTTTCTATTTTTAATTTCTTTTTACTCTTATTTTTCGGCCCCCTAGGGCCCGTTGTGGGTCGATGACCTGTGCCCGGGTGGACACAGGTATAAAAAAAATGAACCTAACCTAAACAAACCCCTTCAACAACCCCCCCCTCCCCTCCGTCATCACCACTCCCTCCCAACACCCCTCCATCACCCTCCTTCATCACCACCCTTCCCCAGCACCATCTCCTCCCTCATCACCACCTCATCACCATCTCCCCACATTCCCTCATCACACCCTCATCACCACCTCCCTCTCATCACCACCTCACATCACCACCTCCTCATCACCACCTCCTTCATCTTGACGGGTCTATCACTATGGGTACACATTCGACACAGATTAATGTCTTGCTCGATGTGTGTGTGTGTGTGTGTGTGTGTGTGTGTGTGTGTGTGTATGTGTGTGTGTGTGTGTGTGTGTGTGTGTGTGTGTGTGTGTGTGTGTGTGTGTGTGTGTGTGTGTGTGTGTGTGTGTGACCTCATTAGTGTTGTAAATATTGTTATGTTAATAATTATTTTTTTATGTTTGTTGTGGTAAATTATTTATGTCGTTACTGTTATTACTACCACTACTACCACCACCACTACTACCACTATCACCACTACCGTCACCACCACCACCACCACCACCACCACTACCACCATTACCACCACTATCACCTTAGACTCCATAAGTTAATTACAGACAAATCTAGCTCGTATATGTCATCTACCAAAAAATAGTCAGCAGCTGAGTGGATACAACGCTCACCTCCCGTCCTAAGAGACTCTGGTTTGCACCCTTAGTCCATCTAGATGTGAACGAGTACCTGCCTTTACAGTTGAGGATTTTAAGGTGGTTGAGTGCAGTGTTGGTCAGATTACTGTATCCTATGTGATGTAGTGAGAGAGAGATATGATTTTTCCTTCCTTCCTTCTTTCCTTCCTTCATTCCTTCTTTCATTACTTCTTGCATTCCAACCCTCCTTCCATCCATCCTTCTTTTCAATCCTTCCTTCTATCCTTCCTTCCTTCCCTCCTTGTGTCACCATTATCAGCACAGTGTTCAACTAACTCTTCTTAAACTTTTAATATTTTTACAGGGGATACGAGGTGAACTTTTTGAACATTTTATCTACATTTTTCCTGGTGAAATATTTCGTTTCTTCGTGTAAACTTTTTTCTTATTATTATTTACGTAAATTTCTTGTAATATTTTATTTTTCTTCGTAGTTTTGTTATTTCTCATTTTGCTTCGTATTTGATTAATTTTCTTGTCATTTCTTGATATTTTCTTCTATTTCTTGTTGTCTTGTCGTTATCTTGACGTAATTACTTATTTAATAATTAGTTAATTTCTTATTTATCACATTTGCTTATTACACTTTATTTTATATGCTATTTTCCCCCCACATTCATCTTATTCATTTCATTATTCCTCAATCCTTATTTTTCTTTACTCATCAGAAGAAAAATAAATAAAAGGAGTTAGATCAAAGATAGGAAAAGAAAGAAACATAACTCCATGATTGAAAAGAAAGAATATCTCTCTCCTTCAATCAATAACCAAATTGCTAGACGTATCCCGACATCAAAAAAGAAAAAACCCAAATAGTTGATCTTTATGGGCCAACATCAGCTGATTTCAACCCCGGTTTACATTTGGCTGAGAGATCACCCCCCCCTACCCCCCTTCATCTATTCCCCCACTACTTCCAGCCTCCTATCCCTCAATTTCCCTTCCTTCTCCCTCCCCATCCCTCAGCAACCTCTATCCTTCCCTTCTACTTTCCATCCCTAGCCTCTCCTTCCTTACTCCTTCCTATCCCACCTCTCATTCCTGTTATCTCCTTCCTTATTTCTTACCATCCCTTATCTCCCCTTCCATCCTCTTTCTCATCCGTAAGCTTTCCTTCCTTCTTCCCTCCCACTTCCTATCCCTCAAATTACAGTGACTTATGGAACAGTGAACCTCTCAGCCATCTTGTACAGAACCATAACTGAGGTGTAGAGGCGATAACTTGAGTGTTTGTTTTTTCTTACCATGAGAACAAGCGATGTGTGTGTGTGTGTGTGTGTGTGTGTGTGTGTGTGTGTGTGTGTGTGTGTGTCCAAAATATATTATAATATTTGAATAATTTTACATCTAATAATTAGATGATGATTTGTTATTTTGTGTAATTATTATTTTTTTATTTATACTGTTATTGTTTATCTTTGTGTTTATTCTCTGTCTCTCTGTCTGTCTTTTTTTTAGGTTAAGGTGGGGAAAGGATGGAAGGCATGCTGGGGCTCAAGGCACAGCCAGACATGGTTAAGGTGGGGAAAGGATGGAAGGCATGCTGGGGCTCAAGGCACAGCCAGACATGAGGGATGGAGAAGTCACAACATATAGTCGTGGGGGGAAAGGTTGGAAAAGAAGTTTAATGAGTTAAACAGAGGGGGACGACACCCCTTGTTTTACATATTACAGAGTTTGTTGGCTAACTAAGCTAACCTAGGATTTAGGATGAGGTTGCACAATGGTTACTTTAGTAGACAATGACTAGATTGATTTTACAATTACATGTTTATAAAAATCTTATACTGTATTACGTTATGGACTCACTTGATTGTGACTTGTTAAATGTGAACTAGTATCATCTAAGTTTTAATCTAAGGTGGATCACTGTGGCGGACATAGATGGGTCGCGGGTTGGGTTGTTGTAGTGCGGGCAGACTCCGGGGCCACCAGGCGTGGGGTCGCCCTCCGTTGATGTCTTCCCCGCATAGGTGGTCTGGGCTGTGAGGGTCGTCCAGGAGTTTGTCCCAAACCTTCTTCTCTAGGCGATGGAACCTGAAGTTGAGGGCCTCTGTTTTATTTCTTAGGTGGATGGTTTCCACTGTCTCCTGGTAGGGTGGCATTTGGGCACTGGCTGACCTCAAACACTTGTTTTGGAAGCTCTGTAGTTGTTGTAGTCTAGTCTTCCCGAGTGGTACGAGTGGTACGTGTGGGTACTCCAACACAGGCCTCACCAGCGCCTTGTACAGGTGGACTTGTATCTTCTCAGGCATCAGTTTAAAACGTTTTAATTTGGCTGCGGCGACTTTGGCTTTATTTAGTCTGTCCTTCACGTTGGAAATGATGCCCGTCCGAGAGGTGATGAGGCCGAGCAACCTGCCTTGTTTAGAGTACTCAATCTCCTCGTCATCGATCATCAATGGCGCCGGCTTGAATTTGGCTATGGGTATGACCTCGAATTTCGTGTTGTTTGTTTTTATTATCCATTTATTTTCATACTCTGAGATCTCCTCTATTGCCCGAGCAGTGAGTCGCGCCATCCTTGCTGTGGACCTTCCTGGGCAGGTGACGATCTGTGTTACATCGTCGGCATACATGACGTACTCGCTGCCGACGATTGGGGGTGGCAGGTCAGCCGTGTAGAGTGTGTAAAGGGTTGGTGAGAGACAAGAGCCCTGAGGCACGCCGCTCGAGAGTGAGAATTCTTCTCCAAAATGTTCGTTCATCTTGATTTTGGCTCTGCGGTCCATAATGAAGTTGCACAGCAGGCGCGTCAGGCTTTCGGGTAGCCCCAGTTGTATGATCTTATACTGCAGCCCTGCGTGCCAAACTTT